TCAATTTTTGAACTTGACAACATCCAAAACGAAGCAATTCTGTGAGACTTCCTCCATGTTGGAACTTGACACCATCCAAAACGAAGCAATTCTGCGAGACTTCCTCAGTTTTTGAACTTGACAACATCAAAAACGAAGCAATTCTGGGAGACTTAACTTCAAATACGGAAAGTTGAGTGCAGAGCTGACGGCCTCGTACCCATGCGTTTTGCGATTTTCCACTCCACCTGTCTAAGTACTGCGCCTGCCACGAAAAAGTGATGCCAGGTCATACGAAGTGTTGCACCTGTCACGCAAAATCATCTTAGCAAACCTACAGATCTGATGCTCCAAAATGCAAACCCTGTCAGGAAATCAGCACCCTGACCTCCTAGCAGCTCTTTGCATGGCGCCTGCCACGGAAAATGCATCTTTGCAGATCCTCTTCAAATGTCCCACGCCTGCCATTGTTTTTGGAAATGCTACAAAACCCTCACATTTTGCTCACTTTTGACAAGGTGCACAATCCCTTGCGTCTGCCAAGCAAAACGACGCTTCAACGTCCAAAAGTGGCGCGTACATGTGGTGTGTTGTAGATTTTGACTTGGAAATGTGCTGCGCGCCACAACAGCGTGCACTGTTTCGACATGTGCTTCGCGCCACAACGGCGTGCACTTTTTCGACATCTCAACTTCTAAAAGCGCTCCGGAGCTGAAGTGTTTTGTACATTTTGACTTGGAAATGTGCTTCGCGCCACAATGGCGTGCAACTTTTCATTTCTCATCTGACCACATGGCTCCGCACCCGCCGCTTTAGCGAGCCTACTTTTCGACCCCCCGGAGCCACAAATCATTGGAAAAACACAGTGTTTCGCGACTTTCCTACCTGTTCGCGCACCTGGATCTTCTTTCTTCGGAGACTTTCTCTTTTTGATCTTCTTTCTTCTTCTCTTCTCTTCTCTGACTCTTCCCATCTCTGCTTTTCATCTGTCCATATTGTCGGAAGTTTGACTTCTAAACTTCCTTCGATAAGTTAAAGTTAATTATATGACCATATGTATATGTATATATATATATAAATGACCATATTCATCCACTCTCAATAGCGAAGTGTCGAATTACAAAAGGGTAATTGTGTTGATCTGTACTGTTTTGATAAATCAAATTCCGAAAATTGTTGGTATACGTCTGTACACATCTTTTGCAGGAGTCAGCTTAGATAGGTATTTCCCTTGATCGCGTGTATTGCCGAACGCATTGTGTTTTCAGAACATGACGAGTTCATTTCTTGAATCACAACAATCATACTGTGGTAGATTCCCCAAAACAAAACCATGTTTTTTCCGTTTGGAGGTTGTGAGCAAAACATGGCAAAGAAAGCAACACATGTGTTATATGGGGCCCGCCACATTGCAGAATACACAGCTTATACGGTCGTGGGAGAGCTGCCATCTGCAGATTCCATCCCTTGCATTCTGACCATATCTGAACTTTAATTACTGCTTATATCCCCACTGCTGAGTCGATCCTAGCATATGGTTAGTAGATGTTAGTAGCTGGGCTTTAGCCCATATTTATCAGATCCACCGAGTTCTTAGCCCCACTACAAACAATATACATCAAAGTGTGAACGACCTCCATGTTTGTTGGTGAAACGGTGAAACATTATCTTGCCATGCAACTTATACCCAAGTGCTGATCATCACAATTGGTCGCTTCCCAATGCGTAAATGCCGCTATGCACCCCCCCTTCTATTTGATTCATGCCCCCTATCCCTGATTGCTCAAGATCAATCAATTTCCCCAGATGTGTTGGTTTGTCTCGAAGATTGTTCTCCAACATCCCCATTTTTTTGGTTTCAAATCCTCATCTTCTCTGGCCATTTCTATCTCCCCTCAAACAGTCGGCTGCCTGTTACATAAATTAAACAAAAGCAGTTCTTTACGTTTGGGGTACTCTAAAATTGGCCGAATCAAGAAAAACATTGAATTACACATAATTACAGCATTTCCACCCAAAAGTGGCTATCATGTAATTTGGTAAACCATGGTAAGCCCAATTATCAACCTTCCGTATCCTTCCGTCGCATTACCATAGATGGGTGTGGTAAAGACCATCCCCAAATCGGCAGGTCCCAGCCACATAGATGTATCGGATGCCGAAAGCCAGGACCCTCAGCACAGGGTTCAACATAATCCAAGGCAAACATCGACTGTAACTGAACAGTACCTTGATAGTACTTGGGGGTGCAGTTGCATTTATACTTGGATATAGAACCATGGGTATAAGCTTTCTAGGGGGTTATATCATGTTGTATCCCAACTTATGAGGGTAGTGACCATGTTATTTTCCCATTAAGTGAACTTCACCTAATATGAAACACACATCGGAAACCATGATCTAGCAGGGGATCTTCTAGCAGGGGATCTTCTAGCAGGGGATCTGTGCATATTTATATTAGGGGGCATGGGATCACAACTTCAACAATTATGTTCTGCTTGCCCACATCCACCTGTTGCATGAAGCATTGGGCTGAAAACATCTCCCGTTTGCCGCTTGCCAATAAGGACACATATCCGACATATCCAGCCAGCACTGGTGAAACGAGACCACACACCTGTCCAAACAAAGAGGGCTATGACCTCAACAACATGAGGGATGCATTGCAAATGTGGAAAGAAATTGTAGGTACAACATATGTATCAAGAATTATCCAGATATACGTAGATGCAGCGTAAATAGGGCCGACATAGAGATAAATACAATACCATATTTTGGGGGTGCAGTTCCATCACTAAATGGTTATGTATATAACCATAGCTATGGGTGGCCCTTTTCCCAACTTACTGTATATGTGATTTTCACTCCCATGTATACACCCGTAAACATAATCAATCCCAAATACGCATTTCGATTCCTCAAATAATTTGAACCCACCAGAAATATATAGAGTCCAAAACTGGAGTCAAGAATCTGCATCTTTGGTGATGTCCACACATTTTATCGGTCTAACCATAGGAATGTAAGCGTTTTTGGCCCCCAAAAGTTGGGATACAAACCTCCAAGAACATTGATGACATACTAATAGGACATTAAGTGAAATTAAACAAAAGTACGCGGTTTTGAAACTCCACCTTGCCCACCTTCAATCATAATAATAATAATTACCTGGAGCAGTGTGAGTATAAAACCAGTAAATAATCACATGAATTCATATGATACCAGGGTTTTGAGGAACATCGCCTGCTGTTTTTTGGTCAGTCGCCACTGAAACTTTCAAGACGACTGTACGACTTGGCAACCCAACACCAGTAATGCCAAGGTCCCCAAAGTTGTACTCCACCTCAGGTTGTGTGCCCCCCAGCGTCGTCAAACCTCTATGGATATGGTTGTCATGGGTTGTCTGCTGTGTCTGGAAATGGGCTATACCCCAGTCATTGAATGGGAACAATCATGAGTATATACTGTAACCAATCGATTTTTGGGCAGCCTATTTTCAAACAAAATCACATTTGTTCTAGGCAGGGATTTTCATTTGGGTTGTGCGCCAACCCCATCACATTAATGAATATTAAACCTCAGTCAAATCATTGTTCCCGTTATCCCATCATTGATTGAAATTCCCAATAGTTATATAAATCATGATTTCAACCACCAGGCCAGTTTTGCGACCAAGGTCCCGTTTTAGTGGACATTCATGAAATTGTGGAAAAATCAAATGTCAAATAAGATTATGCTGAAATAACACATCGTAACACATTTTGATGAGGGCCACCAGTGCTATATCAGATGGATTCAAATGGATTCAAACGGTGCATGTTCCAAATCCACATGCAGGGAAATTTGTTAAACAAAAACCAGTCCATCGCCGAAGCGGTATCCCCCATTGATCCCGGTTGGAAAATCAGGGGACGACCGAGCCTCCAATCATCGATGTAGTAAATGCAAACACTTTGATAGGGGTTCAAATCCTTCAACTCCTCCCCTGTTCTGTAGGGAAAACTGTGCTTAGGATATTTGTTGGCACTTACGATACGATATACTGGGTTTCAGTCAAAGAACTCCTGTGACTCCATTGCGCCACCACCACGCACGGCGGAACTTCCGGCTGAGGATCCAATATCGGCTAAGGCGGTAGGGTTTGAACGTGCAAAAGAGAAAAAAAAACGTGGTTATTCTGATCCGTTCACTCATCTCAATAGCCAACAGATCGGCTGCCCCGGGTTCAGTCTATGCCATGTTGTCACTGGGGCCCATGTTGTGTCAGAAAAAATACCGCGGTAATTATATATATATATAGATAACTATATATATATACACATATTCTTTCGATTTCTTTCGCATTTGAATGGTAAAAATGATGAATTTCCAGGTGCATTTGTCCCCCGATGCTGCATGCAAAAGTTGCATCAGTCAAACTATGTATTGAGTGGTTGGAGGCGCTGGGGCCATAGGCTGTTCAACCCGCTGCATTGTTCATTTCCATTGTCGACAATGTTTTCTGGCCGACGCCCCCCCGGATATGGACAAAACATGCATATCTTTTACTATACTTTACTGTGCATAGCTGTGAATGCAATAGGCACGTAGGTAGGTAGGTAGGTAGGTAGGTAGGTAGGTAGGTAGGTACAAGTAAGTAGGTAGGCAAGCAGTCAGGCATGTATGTTATGTTATGTGTTGTATTGTCATGTTATGTCATGTCATGTCATGTGGTGTGATGCGATGTGATGTGATGTAGTGCGGCGTGGTGTGATGTGATGTTTGTAAAAAAAAGTGTAAATTATACGGTAAATGTATATACGCGTGCGTGTGTGATTGTGCGTGTACGGTCATGTACGTATGAGTGCATGTACGAGCGGAGGTGTGAATGTGTTGGATACCCTCCCATGATTGTTCATACTCCTGTGACATGTGTGTCTGCTTTGCCTTTCTGCCTTTTGATAAATCCCACCGGCTTATCGGTGTTTCCATGGTGCGACAACATGCGCAGCCCCACTTGCGAGATTGCGCCGGGCTGTTTTGGTGCACATCCTGCGCCAGTCCCAGCAGCCGGTCAGCCAGGCTTTCATGGCCTGGCGCCTTGCAAGACCCCATGCGCTCACAGGAAGTTTCCCCTGCACCTTTCCCCGCTGTCCACTCAAGCTCCCAGCTCCTGGCAGGCACGTCGATGCCGCTCTGCCGAGAAGCAAGGCATGCAGCACGCCCAACAAGTAGGAATTGCGAGCGTACCATGCTAGCTGTAAGCCTGTCAGCCTCATCTGTGACATGCTTCTCCATCTCAGGCCAACCATGCATTTGGGCAAATTGGAAGAAGTTGTAAAAAAACGTGTGGGGTTCTTGTTTTTGTGCGCTATCCCGCCGCCGCCAACAATTTTTGCATCAAGACAAGGTTGCTCCACAGAGCTTTAAGGTCCGAAGGCCCAATGAACAATACCGTGATGACAAATGATGACAGCATGTTGGTTCGAGTGAACATGCAGTATACTCAGTATACTCTCAAAATAGCAAGGTTTAACTTTTTTGAATAGGGAAACTGAGAAAGTGATTTATGAGAATGATGATGAACCGTTGGATTTATGGGTACCATATGTTCAGCCAAATCCTGGTGAAAGCAACGTCCAGGGTTTTGATGCCACCTGCTTCATTATCAAAGCAAAGGTCGTGTAGGGTCAGGGTGTAGTCAGAAACAAGGACAAGCAATGATAGAACGGATACGAAGACATCTTTCTGGGTGGTAGATCAAGTTTCTACTTTGCAGGGTACTGCATGACTGTGAAATGAACTGTATACAGGGCCAATCATCAAAAGATATCAGCACAGATGCCATCAAAGCTTGGTGAGGACCTGGTGGAGGATGCTGAGGTATGGATCTATACACCATACACCAACAACATACAACAACTGATGTCTGTCAAGTACGTTTGGATCTTTGGGCTGAACTCACCCCATTTCCCCCCCCGGAAGGCCGGCCATCCCGAAAAAGATCTGCCCTCTTTGAGGGCTTTGGAATTTGGGCAATCATCGAGCTCACCTCAAATACGCTGGAAAAGAAATACGTAGGAACATTTAAGATATTCAAGATGCCTATAGGATGGGAACAAAAAACAAACCACTAGCCGGTATCATATATTACCCTCCAAAAAGCAAACATGGCAATTGGACACTCCCCTATGAATGTAGGTTTTAATCCGAACATAATCTATAAATAATGGATGTTCCATTGCCATGTTTAGTTACTGGAGTGTAATTTCAATTGCAACATATGATATTCCGTCCACTTATCAAAGCCGCAGTTCACTCAACTTTAGCCAGCTATGGGAATATACCCATAGCTATGGAAAATGGCCCGTTTGTAGATGATTTACGGTATGATAATTGACCTGTTAAAGATTGTGATTCTCCATAGCTGCGAAGGAACCAGATGCTTGACACCAGTGGTTTTCGTGTGGAAAGATGTGTCTCCAGGCGCAACCCATAGCTGCCATAAGGTCTTCATGTTTTGGTGTCTACATGGCAGACTTCAAAGAACACATGGGTGTTTCTGAAAATTGGTACCTCCTAAACGACCATCTTAATAGGGATAATTGATAATGATGATTGACCAATGGATTTAGGGATACTTTATTTTCAGACAAACCCATATCGTTGGATGATCAACTTCAGTATAAAGAAAACCAAGCCGGGTTGAATAGCGACCCCCTCATGCTCGGACAAATTGAGTGTATCTGTAAATGTGGATTATATAATGATATATGTATATAATTGTATATATATAACTATATATAGAGGGATACCCCAAACTTGTCATTTTTATGAGGAGCCCTGGATGAGAAACGAATCGGATTTTGAGAAACGAATCACTGGATTTTTGTTGATACCCTCAAAAACATCCCAAATGGTATCTGAATCGGCCAACCGACAAAGTTTTGATCTAGATTCTCAGGAGTTTTTGTTGCCCTGGATTTTCAAAAAACCGCCTTACATTGTTCTTCATCTGTTGCTCGATGTTTCCTCACTTGTAGCAAAGAACATGTGGTGCATCATCCATCCAATCCAGGTTTTCCCAGATGTTTCCACCCCTGACACAACTACATACGTTTTTCAACCCTAAAGAATGACCATCGCACCTGTGTTGATAACAAAAATGCCGAGGAAAAACCAAAGTTGGAGGGTCGGCTACCCAAAATTTCCTGGTATTGTTTCATAAGTTTTCCCTTTTTTTCCATGTGTTTCCATATTTTTCCATGTATGTTGTTGCCATTGTCTCATGATACCGTTTTTGGATATCCTTACCACCCTGCTTTTTTACATCCAACAATATCCAAGAAACACTAGCCCTACAAAATCAATCTAACATCATCTAAACAAATATCTAACATAAATATAAATATAAACATTAAAAGACCCATTGCGAAGTCACCATTTTTACAAATGGGATTCAAACCCTCTCCAAGTTTTACAGCCGGTTTATGGCAGGCCCAAAAGAAATCCATCTCCTGCTGGATCAGCTTTAGAAACCAGGACTCGGTGCTAGCGCCTCTCCGCGACTTTGTTGGTGTCTGAAGATTGGAGGGGAAGATACAGCAACCCCAAACCTCCCAACCAAAACCATAACTAACGAAAAAATAGAAAAGTTGCAAAACGTTGGGAAAATTCAGAAAAAGTTCAAACACATTGGAAAAATTGGAAACCATTTGAAAAACTGGTAGTTATCAGGCGAAAAAAAAACTAACATCCGGGAAACAACTCGTCAATATTTTTGATAGCACATCCAATTAATGTGGTACGGTACACCCATATTTTTAAACGCATCTTTTGGAGTCGAGTAAATCTGGGTACATGAGGTCATAACATGAGGAATCCAAAACTGATTATATAATTAATTATGTCTGGCTATTTTGGGGTCCCAATCGTTGAAATCCCCGACATGTGTTTATCTAAAAATTGTGGATACCCCAAAACCGAGAATTTTCAAGCAGAAAGTGATGATCAACACTGGGATTTAGGATGTACGCATATGTAAGGGACCAAGCCACATCTTGAAATAGACTACATTAAACTCTCCAGCTTTTTTTGATGGGAAAACCATGCAACACTTGTGTCTTCAAGGGTTTTTGACCAACTCTCCTTCCCTTTTTGGTACTGACCACCCTCACCCTGGCTCCTGCTGTAAGCTTGGCAAAGTCCTCTGCCTGACAACTGCGGACTCTGGCGATGTGTTGATCTTGGCCAAAATGCCCAGTCGGCAAGTTTGGTGACATTTAGGGGTAGCCCTTTATTTTGGATATTTTTTTATTTGGTGATTGGTCAAGTTACCTACATACCATTCCATTGGGTGATGAACATCCATTATCTTCCATAAATCCAAGCTATTCTTAAGCTTCACTAGCCCCAGTCACCCCCACGCCTGAGACGGATAAAGCTCCACGATCTTGGCACAAAGTGCCTGCAACTTCGAGTGCTTGCCCATGATGGCTATAGCGGCTACAATAACTTTAGATACATTGTGGTGCATTGCTTGTCTAAGTGATCACTATAATTATATTAGATAATGATGTTATATATATATATATCACACATAACAACTATAGAAATATACAATCCGGCATTTATGGCAAAAGGTCAAAGTATGGAACTATCCAAAGTAGGTTTACCATCTAGTTTTCACAGAATGCCAGCTCAGAATGAGAAGGCGGGTGTGGAGGTCCATACCAGCAGTGCTTTGGCTGCTCCATGGTCTTGAGCCGTACCCAAGTGGTAACTATTGAGGTTGATCATACCGGGTATCATGGCCCAGTACCAGCATGACAAGGTGTAGAATTTCATCCATGGAAATCACATGAAATGACCCCAAATGCAGCGGGATCACTTGGGGGTCACACTGTGCTCAGTGGCCACAGGTCAGAACTAATGTCCACTCATCCTGGATAGAACATATATCCAAAATTTATATAACCAATTTAACTATTAGATACATAACTATAACTACCTATAACCAAAATATATACATCAAAAAGGAAAGACCTGCGCAACATGACCTCCATGATGCACCTCCAGAACGCCCGTTTCAGCATTCCCTGCGCTCCGGTAGTCAACGATGGCTGGGAAATCCCGGAAAACACGGGCATTGAAATGAGAAACTCAATGAACATCATCTATAGATGGCTCATAATCCCGGTAGTCAAAGATGGGTAAGTACCACGTCAGTCCAGTTACTCTCCGGGGTTTTAGCCTATTTGCTGTACTGGAGTGAATCAACAAATAACAAATAGCCCCCAAAGTATTGGATCGATTCATTTGGAGTCCATTGCGGAGTGTATTTGATATTACGGGGAAGGGATTACTTCATCACTAGTCTTGGAAATCCTGAAAAAACTAAGACCGAAGCTGGGTACTGTCTTGTCAGCTACGGCTAAGCATAACTGCCAGCCTATCCAACCAAGGTTTTCCCAACATTTATCATTGTGCAGCCAATTTTGGAGGTAAATCATAAGCAACATGCACCACATTCTAATAAAGTCATTCAAGGTGAACCAGCAAGTAGTTTCTATTGTCATCTATCCAAAAAAATCAGATGGTTAAACCATGCTAATAAACTATATAGGTGCACCTGCTGCCCACAATGCCTGGATCCTTTTCAGAAATTTGCGCCAGCTTCGCAAGCGCCTGCCGCTTTTTTGTGCAAACTTTTCCCCCAACAAGTTTTTTCTGAACAGATCCAATACGCTTCAGCAGAGTTTTTGGGGATATAGCAATGGGTCAAAACATATCCAAACCCCTTGGTTTTCACATCAAAATAATGTGGATCTTTATTCCCCCAGTAAATGTGCTCTTGGATCCTCCACCGAGCTCAGGGTGATTCCCAAGAAAGGCATGAGAGGCTGTTTCACATGTATCATATATATATATAAATACATATACAAATATATACACATATATACAAATATTGACAAATATATACAAATATGATCAAATATAGCTATTTGTAGGATTGTGTATGGACATGTGTATATAACAGAAGTACATGCCTGTTCTGCATACATTAATATATATATATATGCATGTCTACATATATATATATATATGTGCGTATCATATTTATATGTATATATGTTCACGTAGATTATAATATATATATGCATACAGTATGCATGTGCACATACAACCCCCTGTGTATCTTTTCAACAAACATGAAATCAGTATTTCACCACATGAGCAGTGTTCAGATCCTCTGTTGTCCCTGTATGCTGGTTGGTGAACAGGATTTTCCAGCTCATGGATTGTGATCATCCGCAATATATTCTGTATCAATGTATTGGATAGTCATCACCAACCAACCAGCATTTATAAATTATATCATATCTATATCCGTTCGAACCCCCTCATATTGTTGATGGTTAACACATGTTAAAACATGGTATAAACCCTTTAAATACCTGTTAAATTCCCATCATTTCACAAACAAAAAACTGTGGATGGTTGCGACTATGAAGGGATTCCCATGGGATTCCTATGAAACACATGGAATTACATCGACATTCATTCTAGGGGGATTCCAAAGGGATTCTACCAACCAACAGGATTTCTCCGACCTCCCAGGCCAACTGTGTATCTCCTGCAAGGCGACAGCGGCGCTAATGGTCAAATTCCCAATTGTATTAACAATGTTTAAGTTAGTCAAATTTATGATCATTTATGAGGTACAGTTGACACTATTAACATTAAGTCACAATCCATCGAAGTCAGTAAGTACGCTTCAGTAATCAAATAAATATAACATATATATATATATATGTATATATATAATGAAAACTCGCCCTTGAATGTTCAGATTCAAAGCATGCAAACACATAATGCATCCGCAGGCGAGGAAAAAAACACCTAAAACCAACCACAACACTGGCATATTTTAGACCCAGAGTTCCTGAGAAAAAACAACTGCTTTCATGAGCCAAGCGGTTAGCTGCAGGATGACTATTCTATTCACAAACTATCATGTTAGGGCAAAGCGGGGGATAGCTCTTTACCAAGATCATTTTTTTACTATGTTTTCGGAGTATTTTTCAACGTACCTGTTCCAAGTACTGTTTCAGGTAAGCTTTTGAACCTTGTCACACAAAAATGGCACATGCATACTAGGGTCATTGCTCACAATTCTTCCATGAAAACAAGATGGTCTGATTTAACGGTCTGATATTAAAAAAAATGACCAGACACATTCAGCCCCCACACCTTCAGCTAGAGCAGAACCACAGCGTTCTGCTGCGCGGGCGCAGAAGCGGAGAGCCTTATCGGTATGGAAGAGACTGTCCAGTTTCCGATCTTGACCTTCCTGATGCTTTCTATCAGCACGCGGCTTCCTCTTTTCGGATCCCTTGAAATTTCAGTCATCCCCCTGGAAAACCGTGCATGCCAATTCAGTCGGGATAACACTATAAGATTAAGTAATTCGTTGCCTATCCTGGTGGGTGGCTTTAATTCCTACATCTGATAAATCATCTGAAACAAGCACCTTTGCAAATGTCTGGCTTCATACGGGCTAGTCCAAATATGGGGCATATCACAACACAGAGCTATTCGAATGAGAATAATGATGCATTTTAAACCTCCGTCTTGTTTTTCTCAACATTGCTGCGGAAAATGCAGGAGACTGCCATGGCCGTCGCGCTTCCAAGGCTTCCGGCCCAAGTTTTTTTTGCCGCCTTAACAGCCCGATATTCCCATGTACGAATGGACAATGAAAAAAACTGATTTACTTAAGATCATGTTTGGCACACAAAGCACATGACATGGTGTGATTTCTGCAGCAGCAACAATATCTTGATCTTGAGTGTTGCTTCTTATTCGCGTTTTTGTTTCCAATACTTTTCTCCTCTGAATAACCAATGCTATTGCCTTACTAGCAGAACCATGTAGTCCTATGACATATCGAATAGTAGAGATGCTTCTTAAACCAATTTTGGACACTTGGAATCCCATTTGGTTGAGATTGTAACTCCAGCGGCTCTTCAGAATATACGTTGTCTTTTTGTTAGCAATTGAATCCCATGGAAAGTGAAGAAACCGGTCCCCAAACTCTTGATCAAAAACAAATCACAATCCCACAATTTGGTGCCAAGCGGAGATGCGGCACCAAATCCCCAACTGCAAAACTTTCTTGGCTTTCTTATACATCCGATCTTTGATGTTCGGGTTGAAGATTCTTTGTCGACCACTACATATACTACATCGGGTGTTTTGTGAAAAAAACGGGGCATCACCACAGAAATGGTGTGTTTTAAGAGGGCCACCACTGCTTTTGGGGTAGCGCAGTTTTAAGAAACGCCCACATGTGCCATGGTCAAATAATGGTGTATGATGGTGTATGCATGTATATGTGGTATGGTCATCGATCCCACACTTTGGATTCTTAGAATGGGTTGATGACTATAATGTACTATAATCACTGTGAACAACAATCCCCATACAACTAAGTTTTTTTATTCGCATAATAGTTCCCGGTTATGGCTATGTATACCCCTTATTGATGGGTATATAAATCCCGAATGGATGACCATCGCCGCTGGGTCGCCCATACGCTAAGGCTGGTAGGTGACCTGCCAGGGAAAAGCCGGTCAACGCTTCTCGTCAGACAAACGTCAAGGAAACGTCAGACCAAGAAAGATTATGGAAACCCTTATAATGTGGGTAAAACAGTGCCATAGACCACCCATTTGGGAATGGTTTATACCAACTTATCTATGGTGATTTGGGGGATGGTTTATTATCTGGTTGGTGGTTGACCTACCCCTCTGAAAAATGATGGAGTTCGTCAGTTGGGATGATGACATTCCCAATATATTGGAAAAATAAAATTCATGTTCCAAACCACCAACCATTTATTTCTTGTAGCACCAATTTACCACAAATTTTTGCAACCAACCACAACCACTTAGATAGTAATCCATTTTTCTCCGCCTCTTTCACACATCAGGATGTTGTTCTTCCCTGTGTCCCGGTATGGCTCCACAGTTTCATCAGGCTGTTTGGCGATACCCAAGGGCATTTGGTTTAGTGATTTCCCGTTTTTTGGCGGTCAACCCCCCCATTGTCGGTAAACCTGTGAAAACATCCACTATCTCAACTTTGAACCACAAATCGTATGCATTATAGTATTGCTCAAGTACCCCACCCTAAAATAGTTCAAGCTATTCCCCAAAATAGTGAGGTGGTACCTCAAAAATTGGGTCATTGCCAAACTTAGGTCGTCAAAATCATGGACAAGCAGTCATGAGGCATCACTTGGATATGAATCAGGTAACTGGATCATAGACTATAAAAGTAACTTGGGATATCCCATGCATCGGACATAACTTCGGTTAATACTGTGATTAAGTACTTGAACAGTGTTCTTATACACCCCACATCCCTTGAAATACTGGTTGAGAACAAGTTTCCCATTTACACATCATCCCCAATACAGTACCCAATAAACATCAACCAGGTAGGTTAATAACACACAAACCAGGATCAAATCAACCCTCAATCGACCAGCCAGTTAGCCACGATTTTTGCTGCTTAAAACATGATCCATCCCCATGGGATTCGTACCGATGCGACTGCGAATGTAGCTCCCCGCCGCACACGACTTTTGCCTTGGCCGCCGGGCTGAAGGGATCAACGGTGAAATGTGTGTGTATATATAGATATACACATACGGTAGTTTGACAAATAAATATCCAGTATGGTAGTTTAAATATATACATCGTACAAAGATATACCAAGTATAGTTTGGCAATTGGACTCATGAATTCGTATGGTAGTGTGTATATATATATATAGAAAAAAAAACTAGCTAGCTAGCTAGCTAGATAGATAGATGGATAGATAGATAGATAGATAGATGGACAAATAGATAGATTAATAGATAATGATAGATAAATAAACAGATAGATAGACAAATTTACATATGTATATTTTGAAAAAAAACGTACGCGTGTTATATATATATATGTTAGTGGTGGACAAATTTACTTTCTACTCACAATGGACATGGCCAAAGTGGGTGGTTCCCTATCGGTTGTGAAAGTTTGTACTTCCATGCTATGTGTAAAAATACGGTATCGTCAACTGGGTGGTCCCCTACCGGTTGTGAAGCTTTCCACACAAATTTGAACATCCCAAGTCCACTCCCTATTACTTTAGTCTTCCGCTAATTTTGTTGGTTATTCAGTTATTCATATGTATATATATATATATACGGTTGCACATATAACAGTATGTACAGCTACATAACTAAAAGCATGTATAGATATATACAGAATCCAGAAACTATATTTTTTTGACTGACAAAGATGGTATTACGGACACATATATTTAGTACAGATATCTGCATCTTGTGCAATATGAAAACATAGTTTCACATATAATCATATTTGTATATATATAGATATTATATATTATATATATATCTCTCTCTCTCATGATTATCATAATTATAACTCTGATTCTCTTTATATGTTACTATCATCATTATTATCATTATTAGTACTGTCATTCTCATCATTTACAGTATACACATGTGACTGATTGCACACCTGCAAAGACCGTCGAGTTGGACGGTTTACCATGGGGCATCCCCTTCCGACCATGGCTTTTTCGAAAATGGCCTAATTTTCCAATTTTGGATTGGGGTAGCCGGGTAGCCCCATAGGAAACCTCCATAGAAACCGATTAAATTCGAAATCTAAACATGTTTCGATGATATGTGGGCCACAGTTAATTCAATCATTTCCATCTGCTTGGCAATCTGTTCGGCAAATAATCATATCTCCCTAGTCCAACATGTTGTTATTTCGGGATATGTCGGGATGATTTTCTATTCAAAACCGCTTTAATGACGGGACATATTTGACTCCGGTGGTCATCACTGGCTCCGGTCTCCGGCGCGGCTGGGATGTCCCCTGGATCCATCATGCGGCCCAAGAAAACCTTCCCACAAGACATTCTAGTTATACTTAGCTCCATAATGCTCGTTATACTTAGCTCCATAATGCTCCATATAATATATAACTTATATATACTTATATAACTGTGTAATATATTATCACAAATACATGGAACAAAAACACTGCGGAGAATCTAAAAAAAAGTAGCTTCTGTTACATCGCGTCACACATTTAAACATGTTCACCGCCCCACGAACCACAGAGCTGGGTTTCTGGACCAGTTCCAACCACGCCAGGAGTTGTTTCCCCATCTGGACCAGAGGTGTGCCCCAGCTGCTAAGTGGGCTATACATATGTATATATCAGGTATGTATCAATTTTCATACATGTATGACTGTATGTACTGTATATGTATATATATATTATATCTTTATTTTTATCTGTTGTATATATATATATATATGTATACACACGGGCTATATATGGGATAGGCAAAGGATAATTATATCATTACATTTATTGATACTTTGCGTGTGTATATAAATAAAATATGTACATATATATATATATATACATATGTATATATACAAAATATGTAAATATAATTATATGGGACTTGCAGGCTTCCTTTCGTGTCCAAAGTGAACATCGCTTCTTCCTAGCCACGGACCATGTGGGGATGGGTCGCCAAGCCACTGTCACCAGCTGGCGTAAATGTCAGCGGTGATACTGAGATGCACATTAATTTTAATAATGTAATATCAACTAGTAGTAGAGATATTACATTATTAAAATTAGTATCTATTATTATATTAATAATAATGTAATATTAACTAGTATCTATATGTATCTATAATATCAGGGCGATAACAATATGTAAATCTTTTTGGAAATTCAACAATGCATCACACGATAGCTGCGATAATATCCCAATCTGATTCATGATAAACAACTGTGCGGCAATTTCTATGTACACGTGTAAGAGGATCTTAAAGTTTCTTCCACAACATTACAATTCGATGTTGCAAAGCAATACATTGGCAACTTTTACCCACAACACAACGCGATGGCAGCTATTCTAGGAAGAATTGAGCTGGGGGGTATCCAATTATGGACAATCCTAATTCCCAACCAAGTAAACCTATCCGAACCAAAGGAGGTAGACATTTTGAATGGCTCAATTCTTCGCCAAGAAATGGCCTGATTCCCCTCCCAGTCTCATCGGATTCTCGTTCGGACCTCAATGGCTTCCATGGCCCGAGCCAAGAAGGGTGCTACTTCCAAAAGAATCTCAGCTGGCTGCGAAACTGCCGGCAGTGTGGTTGTGTTGCGCGGAATGATGTTTGCTGCGTTGAAAAAAACACATTTGTATAATATTATAATATAATACAGAAAATCCAATTTCAGATGTTGTTTACGGAGCAAACAAAACACAGAGGTTACAGCACACGAATGGGGATAAACACCAAACAAAATCGCTGATCGTCAATCCATTGATATCTACATACCTACCTACCTATCTTATCTAATCTAATCTTATCTTATCTGATCTAAATATCTATATATCTATATATCTAATCTATCTATTTATCTATCTATCTATCTATCTATCTATTCTATCTTTCTATCTATCTATCTATCTGTCTATCTACCTATCTATCTATCTATCTGTCTATCTATCTATCTATCTATCTATCTAACTATCTATCTATCTGTTCATCTATCGATCAAACTATTTATCTATATGTTCTGTATATGTTCTATATATTTCTATCTACGCCTATATCTTTCTATATCTTTCTATACCTTTCTATATCGTTCTACATTTTTCTATACCTGTCTATATCGTTCTATATATTTCTATATCTATCTATTATGTATATCTCTATCTCGTTCTATCTCTATCTCTCTCTCTCTCTATCTATCCTATCTAATCTAATCTAATCTAATCTGATCTGATCTAATCTATCAATGAGCTGCGGAAAGTATTTGGCACTGACGTTTTTTCCGACAGGCTGTAGCATTCCCGTACCGTTCTCCATTCCACCGTTTGGCATGACCTGGCTCTGGAACACGATTTTCCGACGCCATGTTTGAGGCTGTAGACATGTGTTTTTCATGGGTGCAATGCCTGGGGGGGCAGTTCCAGTTAAAAGTGGTTGTGTAATTATGGGTTTTAGATCCCATGCTCGTACCCATAATCTGCAAAGAAATGAAGTTGAAGACACACACACACTTTGTAAACCTTTGTCAATTGCTAGCAGTTAACCCAGTAAGTTGCAGACCCACTTAGTGAAGACCAGGCCCAAATGGTTCCCCTGAGCTCGACACTGGAGTTGCCCAGCGCCTAGTGATCCGATGGGAATCTAACCATCGACAATTTCTTGCATCCCTCAGATATTCAATGACTGTTGCTATTTCATAATTTTAATGAATGGAACATCATTGTTGATAGTTTATACATGGTTTTCCCAGCTACAAACCTGAATTTTCTTCGGGGACTTTCCAGTTAGCGATGGTTGATTTCCGAAGGGCATTGGGGGATGAGAACCTTAAGAACTGTGATGAACTGGATAAATATTGATCAATATTAGATTCCAACGGGAAATTGAACCCCTCAGAACTGGGTCATAAAACTCCGGTACATTCTTACCCATGGGACATGTGTTTCTGGAGGATAATACAAATTGGATTCAGACGCTCTCATCATCCTTACCGTCTTTGTCCACCCGGCCTTAGATCCCCTTGGCTCAACGATTCCAGCTGAAGCAGCAACTGAAGGAGGCATCGGAACCTCGGTAGATCTGCAAACCTACCGGTGGCCAAAATATTAGGACTTTGTAGGGATCAAATATGCTCAACAAAATGCAGATTTATGACTGCCATGGTCAAAACACAATGTATTACGGGGCATTGTCATATATACATAATATATGATCATATATATATATATATATACCATATTGGAAAATCAAACATAATGCGTGTACGAATCCCAATAATGGATTGAAGGCCATCCCCTTTTATGGGAATAGAAACCAGGTGTAGACCATAGCCCATATCACACGATTTGTCTTGCAAAATGAAACAGAGGTGGGACTGTAACTACAACATACGAGTACAATCCACGTGGGAGCTTGCGGCATAGTGGATATTTAAGCGCAAAACTGTGTGTATATATATTATAATATACATACATCAATGATTTACACTGCTAAACCAGATTATTCTAGATCAAACAATACTAAACTAGACTAAACTAGACTAAATCAACGTCAAACACACATCAAGTACACGTTTTTGAACGGTGCTAAACCCAAGGATCACCGAAGAAAAATCACGACGCCGAGCCCGGCCCCCACCGGGTCCCCTGCAACGGCACGGGCTCCAGCTGCCTCAAGACCTCCTCCGACAGACCTTTCATGGCCAGCATCTCCTGCGGAAGGACGAATGGATAGAGCTCTGAAGATTTTACCAGGGAAATATGGGAAATATTATATATATATATATACACACATAATATGTGATTTATAAATATATATATATATATGATCATGTGACATGTGTATATATATATATAGTATGATGTATATATAGAATTATAAATAAATCATATGATATATATATATATGAATAATTATATATATGATATATATATGTATGTATGTATGTATGTATATATTTATGGAAAATATAGAATGGTCGCCAGAATCACTTCATGAAAATGACGAACTTTGTGGGAATATCTTACTGGATGCAATTTCTTTCAGCATCTAAGATCAGGATAAAATGGATATTTACATGGATATAATCAATGATGATCTAGATGATTGGGAATGGATGGATGGTTAGTCATATAACCAAGCCGTTTTAGATTCTAAGTTTGGGGGTCATAAGAAACATCTTCAATTTTCTAGGGGTATGCCCAATTTCATGAATCGCAAGGATTGTCTATACCTCAGTATTTGGTCGCTGAAATATATCTCGGATTCTTGTGGTCATTACATGTTGGAGATCTTGTAGGATCATTTCTCCGTTGTTGGCCCTCTTTGCATAAAAGTGTGAAGCGACCTTTCTTGTTTAGTTGTACCGTGCCATTGTACTGTGTATTTCAATTGATTAAGTACTTGATCTATCGATAGATTGAACTATCTCTCTATCAATCTATCTGTCTATCTACCTGTCAAGGGAATCTGTTTGTCACCATACCAATCTATCTATATATTATCTATATATGATCTATCGTTACCTCAGTATGTATACTAGTGTTAGGCTGTGGTCTGCTACCCCAACTTCCCATGGTGAATCAGTTGCCATTCCCTTTTTACAAAGGTCACCCAACATCTTGTGACATCCTAAGAATCTATGGCTGTGTCTCAAAATAGGCTACCTCCAAATTGGTAGTTATTATTGATAGTTCATCATCATTTTTTCCATGTTTTGAAGCCATTTGGAGGGTATACCATGGTATACCTCATTGTCAGACAGACCCTGCCATTTCCAGGGCGGTTGCCAAAAAGTGCCTCATGTGCGGCTTGCAGCACATCTGTGGCCTTGAGAACATCATAGCTGGCGAATGGATGTTCATTCCCCGAGAGAAATGGTATTACTAGTAGTTCTTTAAAGATACTGATCCATCACCATTTGACCCTGGTTGATACACGCTTGATCACACTTTCATTTGCAGCATAATATTACTTCTTGTTCAACCTGGGAAAATCCGTGGTCTCTGGCCATACCCAAATCACTCCCAAAACGGTTAAACACCGCATTTTTGTTCAGTGAATTTCATCTTTGCTGTCTGAAGTCCGGTTGTTGTTCTGACATTTCGCTTTGTTGAAGCTCCGGTTTTGGGTGCTTTGATCAGGGTGAATCTTAGATACCTGTCATTTTAGATAGCATCAACCAATCCTATTGGACGGACACGGCAGGTTGGATTCATGGGCTTTCTTCATGATAGACACTATTTCAAGCCAGGGGTTTCTCGATGGCGTCCTTTCTTCTGAACAGAGCTTTGGCCTTCTCATTGCAAGATTTCGTTCTGTTTGGATCCGTTTTCTGTTACATGCTTTCCCTCAAATCACCGAAAACAAGGCTGCAAAACATGGTTCTGCATTCGGCCTCATCAAATTAAGTGCCTTTCATTTACATCTGAGACCCCGTAACAAATTTGCTTTATGGTCGGTGCTTATCCAAGCTTCTTTGGATTGTAATTTTGAGTCCACTCAAAAACGTAGATCGAGATCACATTGGAAGCCGAACTGGCAACTCGTTTGAAAGGAAATTCTCGCTGCTTATGCATGTAGATGCCTGCAAGGCACAAGAGATTGTGGAAAATAAGATACCTGTCATTTTTTTTGCTGGTTAGTACATTTTAATACATGTTACCATTGAGATCGCAAAAAATTAAAGTATCATAAAGTCTCTAACCAGTTGGTTGACCCAGTTAGTGGTGACAGTCTGGCCTCATCACCAGAGGCTTCGGTACATAACCTGCAGGTGGCCGATTGTGCTTTAGAGCAAACCGTTGCCATGTCGCCTCAATCCCAATTTCTGCAAAAACTCATGGAAATTGAAAGAACATGTCATGGCCATTTTTAAATCTGCATCTCTCAAAAGACCATTGCTAATGTAAACTGTTTGTATACATCTGCTTAGATTGTTTGAATATCAATTAATATTATATAATATCTATAGTTTTTGTACAGCTGTGAAAATTCCCATGATATGATTCTATATCCGTGCTGTTTTTGCCAAAAGGAACAACAAACCAGATTTGGATTAGTTGCTGAGTTGTGATGAGTTCCCTTCATATCCCTTGATGTATTTTTCAGCCGGAACCCCTATACAAGGATCACAATCAGTGATTTTGGATCCTCCCTCAATGATTGATTGAGATGCTTATCACTTATCAGCTAAGTACAAAGGGGTTATCTTACAGCAAGGTCTGACTACTCACATCCAACGAAATGGAATGGTGTCAGTGAAATAGTCATTCAATTGAAGTAACTCAAGCTTCCAAAACCTCTTCCAGATCCCTTCTGATTGGGGTTTTCCAAAATGAGTTCCAACGTTTCCTACTAAAGTAAATACTTAAACTGCCGGTGATTGTTGGGCCCTTGCTTTGAGACTCCTGCCGTTCGTACATGTCGTTCATCATCTGCATTCGTCTGATGACAAGAAGAGATCGCCAGAATCGACCAAAACCTCTTGGCACAAAAAGACATCTCAATCCTGGAATGATGTATATTAGGTAAAATATCGTATAATCATGTTAATTAAGGGCTTTACCCTAGTGAATACATAATCGAAGGAAGTTTAGAAGTCAAACTTCCGACAATATGGACAAATGAAAAGCAGAGATGGGAAGAGTCAGAGAAGAGAAGAGAAGAGAAGAAGAAAGAAGATCACATAAGAGAAAGTCTCAGAAGAAAGAAGCTCCAAGTGCGCGAAAAGGTAGGAAAGTCGCGAAACACTGCGTTTTTCCAATGATTTGTGGCTCCGGAGGGTCGAAAAGTAGGCTCGCTAAAGCGGCGGGTGCGGAGCCAGCTGGCCAGATGAGAGATGAAAAATTGCACGCCGTTGTGGCGCGAAGCACATTTGCAAGTGAAAAAGCTAAAAACATCACCTTCGGAGCACTTTTGGAAGTTGAGATGTCGAAAAAGTGCACGCCGTTGTGGCGCGAAGCACATATCGAAGTCAAAATGTACAAAGCACACCAGGTTCAGAGCATTTTTTGAAGTTGAGATGTCGAAAAAGTGCACGCCGTTGTGGCGCGAAGCACATATCGAAGTCAAAATGTACAAAGCACACCAGGTTCAGAGCACTTTTTGAAGTTGAGATGTCGAAAAAGTGCACGCCGTTGTGGCGCGAAACACGTTTCGAAGTCAAAATGTACAAAACACCAGGGGTTCGGACCACTTTTCCAAGTTCAGATGTCGTTTCGCGTGGCAGGGGCAAGGGATTGTGCACCTTGTCAAAAGTGAGCAAAACGTGAGGGTTTTGTAGCATTTCCAAAGACGATGGCAGGCGTGGGACATTTGAAGAGGATCTGCGAAGATGCATTTTCCGTGGCAGGCGCAGTACAAGAGACATGTTCATCAGAGCTGTTAGGAGGTCCGAGCGCTGATTTCCTGAGAGAGATTGCATTTTGGAGCATCAGATCTTCAGGTTTGCTGAGATGATTTTGCGTGACAGGTGCAGCACTTCGTATGACCTGGCATCATTTTTTCGCGGCAGGCGCAGTAGTTTAGACAAATGGACTAGAAAAATCGCAAAACACATTGGTACGAGGGCGTCAGCGCTGCACGCAACTTTCCATTTTTGAAGGTAGTCTGGCGGAATTGCTTCGTTTTTGATGTTGTCAACTTTGAAAAATGAAGAAGTCTCGAAGAATTGCTTCGTTTTTGACGTTGTCAAGTTCAAACATTGAGGAAGTCTCGCAGAACTGCTGCGTTTTTGATGTTGTCAAGTTCAAAGCCTGAGGACATCTCGCAGAATAGCTTCGTTTCCAAGCTTGCAGATAGACAGATAGATAGATAGATAGACAGAGAGATAGATAGACAGAACAGAACAGAACAGAACAGAACAGAACAGAACAGAACAGAACAGACAGAGATAGGTAGATAGATAGTTAGATAGTTAGATAGTTAGATATAGCAAGCTAGATAGATAGGTAGATAGATAGTTAGATAGTTAGATAGTTAGATAGTTAGATAGATAGATAGATAGGTAGATAGATAGATAGATAGATCGATAGATAGATCGATCGATCGATAGATAGATAGATAATGATAGATAGGTAGGTAGGTAGGTAGATAGTCAGAAAAAGAGAAAGAAATAGAGAGAAAGAGAGGAGACCTCAACCACCTATCGGTCCATCAGTGGCTTCGCTCTGCCATCGGTGACTCACAACATCCAGCCTCTCCTATAGGTTTCCTATTTTTGAAACTTCCGACACCGCCTTGTGCGGTACTACTGATATAAATAGTAAATAGAGTGAGTTCATCTGCTGTTACCAGTTCCCAGTATTGGATAGCATTGGGTCCCCCCAAGAATGACCAGGGGACTGACCAAGTCACTAAGCACCCCGGGTATCCCGCTGTCTCCCGCTGCCTCAATACGTCGCTCAAAGCATGTAGAACGAGTCGTACCTGCGAAGGAACCTGGGCAAATGCGCCGGGAAAATGATGGGTTTTTCACCAAAGCCAGGGATCAGGGGACCCCCAGTCGTCATCCCAGCCATGACAACTATGGTGACGACTGGGGATCCACACTTTTTAGACACCTCCCTGAAACGACATGCCCAGAACAGGATGAACAACCCCAGTCTTGAGTGTCCAAGGGGGGGTCCTAGAGATCCCAGAGGACCTCTTTGATACCGCATTGCTCAGCCCTCAACCTCACGTGCGGACAAGTCCTTGTTGAACGCGGGTGATGTGGTCGCTGCGAAAACACTCGAATTGGAATCCACAGATGTTCACCTACCCGTATTGAATAAACATGTTCAACACACATCATACCCATATGATTTCTGTGAAAACGAAGGCTTGCTGATTTTTTTGGAATGGAACCTTGTTTTTCAACCAAAAAAACAAGGTTTTCCCCCAATGGAAAGGAGACGTTGAGAACAGAGCGCAACAAATTCTGTCAGGATCCACCTCAAACAACGGTGTTGCCCCATGACCCATGACATAGGTGGATTTCCTACAGCATTGGGGTCACTTTGGATTTTGGGTATGCGTTTCTTCTCAAATCATTCTCTCACCTGTCATCTTAGGTCAGGTTGCAACTGAATAGTTGGAAGTTAAGTATTCTTGTTACTAGTAACAAATCAAAACAGGTTGTCTAAATAAATGGCAATATGGATTAATGTCAATATTGGTTAATCCTGATTTGATCTGAACATATTTAGTACCTCCAGCTTGATGTTCAATCATCATTTCCCACCTATTGTTGAAATTGTCATTGGGAGGGTATAGCCCATTATAACCCTTCAGACTGATCCATATTTCGATATGGTAACATCTGGATACATTTGATAGACGAGTTACCTGGTAAACACCAGAAATGCCAGACTCTCAGGCGATGGTCACACATTCATGACCATCAACAAGTACCTTAAACATCAACTTCAAGGTTTTTGTGGAACTTGACTTTAATTCGTGAGAACATGGGTGTCACCCCGGAATTCCAATGTTTGACATGGTTTGAGTTCACTACAGTTTTAGTATGTTTTAGTATAGTGTTCTTTATGAACAGCACAATATGTGCATGATTTTTTCTCACATTCCAGTGCTTTATCATAAGTTTATCCTATTCAAATCATAATGTGTTTCTATGTTTGTATGTATATGTATATACAGCATTATACAGCTATATATCATCGATATATATATATATATCATTATATATCTAGAGAGAGAGAGAGAGACAGAGACTTTCCTAATCCCGCCATTCATACTCAGATTTCCCCATCTCCTCGAAGTGTTTTCTCAAATCAGGAGAAGGCATGGAACTAGGGCTCCTGTTCCAGAGGAAAACGAGGGCTGCAGCGCTGCAAAGGGAACATGGTGATGAACCAATGGATTTTCATGGATTTTCCTGAGCTGTTTCTTGGTGACAAACCCACATTGAAGTCGTATTGTGTTTGCCGCTAAATTTTCAGGCATAGCCATGAGAAAGCGCTGGCAGTCCTCAACGTCCTAACATCCTGTAGCTGTGCCTGTGCTGCTGGAAGTCTGTGACATTGAGTTTGAGACCTTCCATGAAATCATATTCTACCCGCAAAAAACAATCTCTGTTCTCTGGTATTTCGAAGAGTTTCGAAGGTTTCTCGTTCAATTCTCATGTATGATGAAGAAAAACATGGACTATCCAATCTATCTGACTATCCGAGACTTCTGTTTTCCCTGCAATCATCTATAATCTCAACCATGGTTGCCGGATGCTGCTTCTCATAAGAGGCGCATATGTATTTCCTTTATTGTTGAGTTGTCCCAAGTCTGCTACAGACTGTGAACCCTGTAATCATTAAAAATACAAAAAAATACAAAAAAAAATACAACTCCAAATTACAAAAAAATACAACACTGAGCAGGGCAAAATTATCAACAAAAGGAAAATACAACATACATTGATGGATTCGCGGTTTTGTTCTTTGACGGCATGTCTAAAGAACGCAAAAAATACAAAAGGACAAAGTGCAATCTGTGAAGGACTGGAAAAATACAAAAAGAATACAAAAATACAAATTGCATTTTTGGACGTAATGGAAAAATACAAAAAAAATACAAAAATACAAAGTGCATTTTTTTTTGTATTTTATTTGTATTTTTTCGTATTTTTTTGTATTTTTACAAAAAAAATACGAAAAAAATACAAAAAAAGTACAAAAAAATACGAATGCAATTGCTCAAAAATACAAAATACAAAAAAAATACGAATCAACAATTTCAAAAATACAAAAAACAAAAAAAATACGAACCCAAAATTTCAAAAATACAAAATACAAAGAAAAGAAGGTTTTGCGATTGAAAGTGGGTCTCTGGAATTTGATTTCTTTAGGTGGATCCATATGTATGCAGATTGTTTGGCAAGGAGCCATTATATTTGAATATTATTTGAATGTGTTTGAATTTAACTACTTCATTTTTTCTTAATTAAGTCGCAGATAAGTTACTTTTTGGCATCTAATTCCAGGACCAAGGGAATCATATCATATATATATATATATTGATAGCATATCGTTACGCTCATTTCATAGCATGCAGGTGTATAAATGCGACGACTCCGAAGATGCACGTATACACAAGGTCTTGCTTTGTTTGATTTTCTTGGGTTTTGCACGTACATTGATACTGGGATATGGTATTTTAATTCAAGGTGTGCAACATTCTTTCCAACACCAAACCAAAGGAATTGGAAGGAATCATGAAACTTAGTGCCAAACACAACATGAGATTAAGAGGCACGATATCAATAACTAATGAAATCTTAACCGCTTATCTATTTGGATCCAACCAGCAGGGAATCCATCCAATGGCAACCATCAGGATCCATTTACGATACAAAAAAAAGGATAGGTGGCGTTGATTAAATCTGAGGATCTCCCACGGGTTGAATAGATGATTTTCCCCAAACATTTTGCATTGTGCTGAACGCGCAGAAATATAAATATGTAATTTTCTAACCTTCTACAACGGGTTAACCCTAAATTAAAACATATTAAAGTTGATATCATTAGTTTGCATATTTTGTGGGTGGGCCTGTGCCGCCTGTATTGTGGGGCTGCAAGCCGGCAGCAAAAATAAGAACAAAGTGCGTCCTGCGGTTGGTAATGGGTCCTCAGATAGGCTGATGTTTTTTCGTCTTAAATCCGGGTTGAACGATCCCGAATTAATTGAACAGAAACCATCAAAAACCTATGGATTAATGCCCCAAAGCTTTAAAGCAACCCCCAAAAAATACCAAAGTGCGTCCTGCGGTAGATAATGGGTCCGGAGATAGGATGAATAAAATTTTATTCGTCCTAAATTCAAGTTCAACGACCCCGAATCCACTGAACAGAATCATGGAAATTAAGGAAATTATAGGTTTTCGTCCTAACTCAGCTGCGCGTTTTGTACCCCCGAGATCGGATCAATAATTTTTTTTCGTCCTATATCCAGGGTCTGAGGTACACTTCGTCCTAACTCAGCTGCGCGTTTTGTACCCCCCAAGATCGGCTGAAACCCATCTCAACCCCTGGATTTAGGATCGATAATTTTTTTTTCGTCCTAACTCAGCTGCGCGTTTTGTACCCCCTGAGATCGGCTGAAACTTGTTTTTTTTAGGGTGTGAGGTACATTTCGTCCTAAGTCAGCCGCGCGTTTTGTACCCCCCAAGATAGGCCGAACCCCGCCTCAACCCCAGGATTTAGGCTGAGTTTTTTTTTCGTCCTAACTCGGGGGGCGCGTTTTGTGCACTGGACAATCCCATTCAGCCCTCAGCATTGAACATATCATCAATATCGGATGTTTACCACAACTCTCTTGAGTTACATTTTATCGCGTGAACAGGATCTCAAACTAGAAATTTATGATAAAAACTTAGTGAACACTTATGATCATTCAGCGGCGTACTGTACTTTGCGCCGTCGTGGCATATAGATCAACATATTGTACTTTGCGCCGTCGTGGCGTCCAAAGCTTGGATTCATCAATATTTAGTTGCATTAAAACCAAATATTCATACTATATTCAAATACATCATTTAACAACTTGAAATAGGAAGCTTTGATGACATAACATCTACTCAAAATAATGGACCTGGAATAAACATATATATATATATATGGTACACACATATATATATATATAATCGCCGCATGATACTGGGATTCTTTCAAACAAAAAATGAGGCAAACATTCGAAAAGCAATATTTGGAAATTTAAATGGGGAATGCATTTGCAAGTGTTGGGGGTTTAAAACGTAAGGAGAGAACCAAATCCAAAACGAGGGGGGTGGAATCCTTAACGGTGGAACCCATATAATAAAATCTGATGAACGAACGAGGAAATAAAGTCTGACATGGGAAAATAATGATGAATATGAAATTGAAAACGTTCGGGGATAGTCTAGAATCTAGATGGATATATAACTGGAATCTATGGGGCCGTTATAGTAAATATTATGCAGCGGGCGATTTTGAAAACAAATCGGACTCCAGAAGTCTTGTTCCGGGAAACCAGAACGGATCAGGATATAAATATATCTCCCTAGCATTTAGTACGACGGAAAACTTGGATATATATATATATAAAATAAATTTTACAGTATCTAAAACCATGACTACAAACTAGAATTCAAACCCCAAATCAAATTCAAACAGCCCTGAATCAAATACAATTCCTTAAAGACAAATTCAAAAATAAGCGAGAGAGCCAACCCCGTGTTCACTTTTGGAAATCAGGAACCAAAATACAAAAAAAATACAAAACCAACCAGTTGTATTTTCCAAACCCTGCAGTTCTGATTTTGTATTTTTGGGTTGTATTTTTTTCATTTTTTTTTGTATTTTTAAATATTGGTAGAAGACCCTTCTGTAGCCACCCCGGACAACTCAACTTTATTGGTCGGGAAACAATGTCCAGTTTTGGTTGGTCACATGGTGCTTTCCAAGAGGCCTGCTGATCGATCCTCTCTTTCGGTGTAGGTTTCGCTGTCGCAAGTATGCCTTGGAGTGCCCCAGCACCATTATCATGTCGACAAAATCAACAGTGAAAGTATGTGAAAATGAAATGAACTAGTGACAGTAGTCCAAAAATAGATATAAATTGGAGGCACTCCCAAGAACCGCGGGTGTTTTCACTACTGCTGCCGCCACCAGCATCAGCATCAGCATCAGCATCAACATCAACATCAGCATCAGCATCATCGTCGTCATCACGACCATCACGACCATCACGACCATCACGACCATCACGACCATCACGACCATCACGACCATCACGACCATCACGAACGGACATCAGGAACATCAGGAACATCAGGAGCATCAGGAACATCATGATCATCATGATCATCATGATCATCATGAACATCATGAACATCATGAACATCATGAACATCCTGAACATCCTGAACATCCTGAACATCATGAACATCATGAACATCATGAACATCATGAACATCATGATCATCACCATCATCATCATCATCATCAAACAATGATGGGGTTAACAATTAATTATACAAAGGCGTATGACCAAAAGGGTTTTATTATATATACACATCATTCATACGTACGTACTTGCCTCTATCAATGTATATATATATAGTTGTAATATGTGTATAGCGCATACCACGAAAATAGAAGATATTAAATAATTAAAGCACATAGAAGATGCAAAATTGGGGGTGTAAAGTCAACAAACCAGATAGAAGATACTCCTTGTCGCAAAGGGTCCTCCAAGAGCCGGTCTCGAGGGTTATAATTATGTAAACGCGAACACAGCAGCAACGACAACAACCACAACAACCACAACAACCACAACAACCACAACAACCACCACAACCACCACAACCACAACACCCACAACACCCAAAACCCACAACACCCACAACACCCACAACACCCACAACACCCACAACACCCACAACACCCACAACACCCACAACACCCACAACATCCACAACCACAACAACAACAACAACAACAACAAGAACAACAACAACAACAACAACCACAACAACAACAACAACCACAACAACAACAACAACAACAACAGCAGCAACAACAACAACAACATCAACATCAACATCAACATAATACAGTTCGAAGTACCAGTAATGTTTGAACCATTTCATAGTGCCCATCATCATCTCAGATACCCGTAGTTGAATATATATATATATATACATATTTACATAAACAAAAATAAATATAAATATATTCATATACCTATATATATATATGAATCTATGTTCTATATAGACACGTTTAAAACAACGTCGTACAGCGCCCTGAAATCATCGCCATCTCCGAGGCACCGCTGTCCAGCTCTACCTGGCTTTTGAAGGGAAAAAAACGGGAACCATCGGAAAACCATGGCTTTTCCCATGAATTCTGAAGGTTTAAAACGCAGATAAAATTGCAGATGTTCATAGATTTCAAGAGATTTTCCCTGAACAATTTTGTGTGATGGCTGTTTTTTCATGACCATCCTGGAAAAATGGGAAACGTACACCCAAGTTTTGACGTGACTCATGTGATCATGCCCCAGCACCCCAGGGTAAAATGAGTCATCGAGATAAAACTTCGAGTGGCGGGCTATCCAAAGAAACAGTTTGACCTGGAGCTCACATGAAGCCCGGCAAAACGAGTATGATGGATCCACCCTCAAACCCTGAGCTTTCAGATATCATTGGGTCAAGGGAAATTCTACGTAGAGGAAATCCGGATGTCACCATGAATTGCAGAAACTTACTCTCATGACCTTCCCTGCAATTCTTCAATCCCTTATCTTCTCGGAGGATAAACAGCTGGGATGCTGAGAAGGCGAGAGAAATGGTGACATGGCGGGTCAAACAACCGGTAGTATTATATACATTTATATATACCCAGTAAACAATCCCCATGGTATGAATCATCCCTGAAAGCTTTTTCTTTCTCGGCAGGCTCGAAAAAACAACCGAACCACACAGAACTCCGACACATGGACCATGTGGAAAGGCCAACATACATATATGATCATGATATGTATACACATAAAAAATGACTGGTTTTATATTTATATTTATATAATCATATATCATATATGTATATACATCAAGACACTTGAGAATTTGAAAAAGTGCATTGCGAATCGTCCCGCAATAATGTTTTGTTTTTACAATTAGACAGTCTGAGATGTGATCGGGCGCTGTTTTCGTCAACCCCACTTCAGTGGAGTCTATGTATTAGCCAATGGAAGCGGAACCGAGCTTGCTGAATTGTGGTATAACATAGATACAAGGGGAAATCATGGTAAACCAACCATTCTATGGCTATATAACGGGATATCTGCGACTAAAAAAATATGATCTATATGTGTGATTTCACCAGCAATGGGGTTTGAACCAACAACATATGAGCCATGTTCTAAATGTCTTACATCCTGGCACCAAATAAGGAAATGCTTACGCCATCTTACGCCATTGCTTACGTTTTGCTTACGCGCGCACAGGTTTTGCTTACGCGCATATCTTTTTCTACGCGGAGCTTACGCTGGCTTACGCTCACCACAGTTTTGCTTACAGCACACCCTTACAAGGGGCCACTTGCTTAACATGAACACAAGGGTTTAGAACGTGGCTCATATGTGTTTTTTTTTAATGGGATATAACGGAATATCACCCAATACAACGGGTATATAATGACATATACAACCAGCAACATTGGGTATTTGAATGTGTCTGACAATGGGGTATAGCGCTATACACCTCAGATATCCCCAAGGTCGAGATTGAACATAAACTGACAGAGTTGGATGATGCAAAAAACGTTAGTCTAACCCCCTATTTTTAATGGTCAACAGCCGGTGCAAATATGTTGTTTCCGGTGAAGATGTTTCCTGAAAAATCAATCCGCCAATCCGCAGAATCACAAGACATGACTATTCATATCCATTCATCAATCATTCCAATCTATGGCCATGGACGTGGGGCTCTTTGTGTAACTCGGTTTTGGTAAATGCTGCTCGAGGACTATCTCCTTGCCTTTGGCAAAGGATGGCTCAGGGTTGCACCAGCTAACCTGTCCATAAACACCAATCAACATATTCTACTGTATGTTTTCGGTTTGAAAAGGGAAGGATGCTTCTCCCCATCACAAAAATGTCGTAACTCATAGTAATGGGGTAAACCCAATGCCGTAAACCATCCCCGATCCATCACCAGAAAGTCTTCTTATCACGCTGGGTTTCCGACATTGACTTGTATATATATATAATCATAATAAATCATAGTATATAACTCAATGTAACTCATCGTATATCACAGTGTTGCAACTTTTGTTATTGGGTTCCCACATTAAATCAAAACATAGTAATAATAATACTAAATAGTGCACATGAACTCACGTTTGAAATCTCCAATGAACTTTCGCAAATCCAAGTCCCCAAGGGGATGGCAAGAGCGGCTACCGAACTTGGGAACTCCGGGATGAATGGAAATCGAATGGTGATGGTGAGACATCCTACATCACTTAAAATAAAAACTAATAGATATAATATATATATATATAAATATAAATATATATTTATTATATAACATATCTATAATTACGTATATGTTGTATGGGTGAATAATTGTCAACCGCACAACATGTAATGCTTCCGAACTTTAGATTTAGTGATATTATCATATGTTATCCTACAAGAAAAAACTTGAGCAGGTGGTGGTATATTCTCTGCTGCAATCAAAGACCTGCAGTTTGAAGAACATGGGTGCAACCCCGTGCGCAGCCATGCTAGCTGCTACCACAAACGGACACTGGGCGCCAAGATATGTGGCAAAAACGTTTATTTGTTGCTCATATTCCCACATGTTCCACTATTCCCAGCAAAAAATACAAACAGCCACCTGCAAAATAACATCGATTACTTTATTTCGAGTCATCCCCACCCTGACATATTGTTATGACATTCTATCTGGCATCCATTCTGCATTATTTTTTGCATTCTATCTGACATATATTCTGACATTCTTTCTGGCAGTCTATCTGACATATATTCTGACATTCTTTCTGGCATTCTATCTGACATATATTCTGACATTCTTTCTGGCATTCTATCTGACATATATTCTGACATTCTATGGAATTCTATCTTTCATATATTCTGACATTCTATGGCATTCTATCTTACATATATTCTGACATTCTATGGCATTCTATCTTACATATATTCTGACATTCTATGGCATTCTATCTTACATATATTCTGACATTCTATGGCATTCTATCTTACATATATTCTGACATTCTATGGCATTCTATCTGACATATGTTCTGACATTTTATCTGGCATTCTTTTTGGTATTCTATCTGACATAAAACTTGACATTCTACTGGGCATTTTATCTGGCATCTATTCTGACATTCTCTCTGGCATCGTGTCTGGCATTCTCTTTGCCATGTGTTCGGGTCCAGGCCTAGCCCACTGGCCCACTGCATCCGGAGCTGGTGATACGCAGTTCGGGTCCAGACGTGGCCCACTGCATCCGAAGCTGGGAGGAAGACAGGAGTGATTCGGCGAGGGGCACGAGAGAAGGAGTCAAGGAGGTAGGATGATCATAACGAACACCATCTATAAATGGAGGATATTCCACTGCCAGGTTCTTCACGAGAGGAAGACAGAATGATGTTGGTCACCATGCAGACACACGTTCTTGCCCCATGAAAACTCATGGCGATGTTCTGATATTCCCCTTAAGAAAGGATTTATCACTCAGCACAAACACGCTGCTAGGATATGCTTGGAACATTATTGGAACATTGCAGCACCAGGAAAAAATGGTTCTTCTTCTGTGAAAATACAACGTGTTTAACGAACTAGATTTTCTAGTAACCACCAGACAAGAAGAACAGAATAATAAAGGTTGTAGCATGTTTTGAGTAGATGTTTTTTCTAAATTTTACCCACAAATTTCAGTTTGTCTCAACATGATGTACTCGTGAATCCTATGGTTTCTCAAACAAATCCCATCAACCTTGCTATTCAAAATGGGTATCCACCATTTTCAGACCCCAACATTATCTCACTGCGGTAGCGCTCATGCTAGCTACATCTTTCCAGTAAACAAACATACTCCCACAGTTGGCTTCGCCAGTAAGACACAATTAAGTCCCATTCAAACCCCATTTACAATCCAAAATCTCTATATTTTGATGACTAATCCAAAGGGTTGCGATAAAAATAATTCGAAGCCTCAGCTCTCCAGTATTGTTCCGTTCCGCGCTGTGCATAGTCGCGGCCGTCAAGAAATCAGATGCTTCTGCTTCGGCGGATTTTGGTCACCTTATTCGTAAGGAAGTCACGACAAAGAAGTACTGCTTGGAAGATCCAGGGAGTAAATGGAGTTAGAAACTGGGCTATATAATGATGATATATATATATGTTATGTATATATATATATACACACACTATTCATGATCACTATTGATCACTATCATGATTATTGTTGCATATTGTTGCTATTATTAATTCATACTATTGCAATTGTAGTTGACTACTATCTAGGTTAGCTATTAACGCAAAGAGTTGGCATCAGGTCCAGACTGCTCATATCTCATACATGTGATCCCAAAAAATCGCTGGTGGTTCAGTCAAGCTTCCAAGTTTATGAAAGAAAATGTGGATCATCACCACATTTATGGAGAATAAACAACGTTCAATCAAACCAACAGGTTTGATATTAGTGATATTTGGGTGCCTGATTTTCTGAATTTGCGGTGCATCTCCAAACATCCGCGGTCAGCGACTTAAACAAATTAAGCATCTGATCTTATGGATGGACATTGTGAGTTCGCAATCCGAACTTTGGAAGATACCCTTCGGCCATCAATCATGGCAGGCTGGGAAATGCACGAACGAGGTTAATTAACGGGAACGGGAAAGTGGTGTGAAAATCATCAAACTGAATGGCACAATTTCCAGCAAATCATTTTTGAGTACCGGAAGGTAATCTTTTCTGCTGAATTAAGCAGTGTTAAACACCTGTATTGGAAAATCCCTTCCATTCCCTTCTACACTTAAAGGATATTTTCATGGTGGTGTCCCCTTCATGAATTATGATGATCCACGACGATCCTTATTTTCATCAACTAGCAGATTTTCTTCAAACTGCTCAAGTCATCTTCCAACGTCCATCCACTCTAAGATGGAAAACAGGATGACGAGGGAGCTGCCTCCAGCATAGATGTTTTGGTCCAAGGCGATAGTTGAGAATCAATGCTCACTGCTTTCGGTATATGGGTGTTTCATGAAACGAGGTGACCTGAAAATCATGCAACAATGATCAAACATA